GATTGTTTCACAAGAAATAAAAAGCAGGCTCTGGGGTGACTACTTCAGCACTTAATTGGGTTAGCAAAAAAACTGCAAATGAGAGGTTTTCCTTAGGAGGGAAAGGATGTTTACAGTCCCCCCCACACCCCCCGCCAGGTGGTGGACTTTAACCTAAACGTTAGTCTTCCAATGCAGCCTTTAATTTAGGAATCATTATAAGAATGTATTAGAGCAGAAAATGTCAGGTTGAAAAATTAACACATGACAGGAGTTAATTAGAACCCAGGCTCTCATTAAATGCAAATGGAGAGCTCTCCAACTGCCCAAATAGTTTGCTGAAGTCATGTTTGTGGCAACTCTACAGTGGCTGCATCTTTCTACTCCAAGGGTAGAACGAGGGGACTGCCTAGACACTCAGTCCAGACCCACTCAAGGACCATGGGTTGCCTTTTAGGTTAACTATTCAGGTGTCCCTGTCTTCTCCTCCTCTCAGGAAATGTTCTGAAGGTCATGGGGGTGGATGTGCTTGTGCTTGAAACTCCCTCAGGGAAGTGTTTTCTGTAACAAAGACAAACATGCCATGCCTGTCACCAGGGGCAGATTGTCGACTGTGTAAACCACTCCGTGAGAGGGAGGCTGAGAGGCTCCAGCCCCTTCAGACTTAGCTCTACGTTTTGGTCTTTGTTTTCTTTCCACATTCAGACTGAAATGTGATTCCCCTGCCTTTCTTTTTTGGAAAATACCTGCAACTAGCTTCTTTCAGGGAAAGAAAAGCTGTTGACAGGAAACCCTTCTGATGGGGAAGGGCCTTCCTCCAGCATTCTCAGAGACAGTTGCTTCAAGCAAGCTGGGGCTGAGATACCAGGTCTAGGAATGAGATGTCCAGATCACAAAGGGTCCTCTTTAACTACAGATTAGGTTGGGTGTCGAGCAGTTTCCTCTAGCTGTACTGTGTATACCAACTTCAGGACCAGGCAGACATGCATCTGAGTCCTCCAACACTTACTAGCTGTCTATCTTGGGCAAACTGCTTAGCCCCTCAGAGCATTAGTTTTCTCAATCTGTTGTGAAAAATAAACAATGTATGTAGATAATGTAACACAGTATCTGACACAAAATAAAGGTTCTATATGAGTTGTTATTGATGTGGTAACAAATCACCCAACACTTACTGTGTTCCCTCAGTGTGCCAGGCCCTGTGTGGGAGATAGGTCCCCCTCGACCTCATGGTCTAATAAATCATGTACACTAATCTTCAGCACAATTCAAGCCTTCTTCTTCACCCCATAAATGCCCTACCAGAAGTGCCAATTACACACTAATTCCACTTTGTTGAGTAGCTCAGAATCCTGTAGTTCATCATTCTCCGAGTAGACGTCCAAACTCAGCTATCTCTAATTTCAATTTATCCACAAATCTCTATCTTTGCACTCATCACAATGAGTTATAGTTTCTGTTCATCTGTTCCCTTTTGTGAGGTCCTGGTCATGGAGGTCATTTTTATTCATCTCTGTAGCTCAAATATCTCATGTATTACTCAATAGTGGCACACAGGAGATACTTAACCCTACTGTTTGAGTATGCAGATTTCTAGCTCGGAAATTTTCTGCGAGAAATAATCTTGCCCCATCTTCAAAGGGCCTCCTTTGAGCCCTGGCTTAATTGATCCAGTCATTTTCTAATTATAACTTTGTTTTTTCATCTCTTTAAGGGGGCTAATAAGGCCTAGCTCTGGTGGCGTAATGCCTAAGGTATTTGACTGCTAACCAGAAGGCTGGTGGTTCAAACCCACCAGCCACTCCTCAGAAGGAAGGTTGGGCAATCTACTTCCCTAGTGATACCACCTCGGAAACCCAGAGAAGGGTCACTCTGAGTCAGATCTGACTTGACGGCAGTGAGTTTGGTTTGGTTTTTGATTTACCTTCACTGTGAGGTTTTGATGATGACCAGAGACAAAGCAGCTTCTATGTGCCCAACACAGCACTAGACACAAAGCCAAATACCAAAATAAGTTGACTCCATTCTTGCCCTCAATATAATCAAATCTAGTTGCCCACATAAGAAAACTAAAAATATAAGACAGAATATGAGCACTGTAAGTGGTACAGTGTTGGCGAAGAATACTGAAAGTATCATAGACTGACAAAAGAACTAACAAATCTGTCCTGGAAGAAGTACAGCCTGTTTTTTTTTTTTTTAAGTGGTATTGTGTTGGCAAAGTATACTGAAAGTATCATGGACTGACAATAGAACTAACAAATCTGTCCTGGAAGAAGTGCAGCCAGAATGCTCCTTGGAAGCAATAATGGCCAGACTTCATCTCAACCTACTTTGGTCATGTTGTCAAAAGGGACCATCCCTTAGAGAAGGATATCATGCTTGGTAAAGGGGAGGTGCAACAAAAAAGGGGAAAGCCCTCAACAAGATGGATTGACACAGTGGCTGCAACAATGGGCTCACATGTAGCAAGGATTGTGAGGCTGGCACAGGAACAGGCACTGTTTCGTTCTGCTGTACATAGGGTTGCTGTTTTGGTTACCTCTGTGCCACTCTGACAGGAATATACCACAAATGGGATGGCTTGAACAAACAGGAGTTTATTCTCTCACAGT